TTATCCGTATCGTGTGGGTAGCATTGTAGGTATACATCAAGACATAACCATTTCCAGATAATTCTACCCTCACCTGAGTGTAACCTTGTATGATATATGGTATTGTCTGTACAGGTTAAGTCTATTCCTATCTCATCCGTATCGCGTGGGTAGCATTGTAGGTATACATCAAGACGTAAACACTTCCAGATAATTGTATATTGTAGGTATATATCAAGACATAAACACTTCCAGATAATTCTACCCTCACCTTGTATGATATATGGTATTGTCTGTACAGGTTAAGACTGAGTGTAACCTGGTATGATATATGGTATTGTCTGTACAGGTTAAGTCTCAGGTCCAAAGCACAACCCAACAGACCAAGGCCCAACAGGCCAAGGCTCTGGCTGATGCGATCAAAGACAGCAAACGCGAGGACAGGTACGCCTGCACTCGAGCAATGTCTGTGGAATGCAATAGAACTCGTGGGGTTCATCCCTGTCGCACTGTATGGTGTACGGGTTCAGACTAGTATTGTTATAGCAGACTTGTAGTATTACTTCTGACTAGTACTGTTGATTCAGACTAGTACCATTACTTCAGGCTAGTACTATTACTTCAGACTTGTACTATTTATGCAGACTAGTACTTTTACTTCAGACTAGTATTATTACTTCTGACTAGTACTATTACTTCAGACTAGTACTATTATACAGACTGGTACTATTAATTCAGACTAGTACTATTGCTTGAGACCAGTACCATTTATTCGGACTAGTACTTGTTTAAAATTTAAACTGGTATATTAATTGAGACTGTTACTGTTATGCAGACTAGTACTATTAATTCAGACTAGTACTATTACTTGAGACTTGTACTATGGACCGCTATGTGCGGGTTCTGTTTCTTTTGTGGGTATGAGATCTATTTAAGTTTGTTTGGCCCATGTAGGCGTGTGCCTTGTCCGTTCTATCTGTTTGAGCTTGTTCACAGCATGCAATATATTTGGTGTAGGTACACTAATAGGCATGGTATCAACCCCACCCCTGCAACATGTACATATATCTGTGTACACATACATTGGTATATATGAGTATAACAAGATACATATACACACATTTACTATTTATGTCCCTCTGAACATATACATTGGTATATATCAGTATAACCGTATACATATACACACATTTACTATTTATGGCCCTCTGATATATGTCTGTACACATACATTGGTATATATCAGTATAACCGTATGCATATACACACATTTACTATTTATGGCCCTCTGATATATGTATGTACACATACATTGGTATATATCAGTATAACTGTATACATATACACAAATTTCCTATTTATTGTATGTATACATACATTGGTATATATCAGTAGAACAGTACACATATACACACATTTCCTATTTATTGTATGTATACATACATTGGTATTTATCAGTAGAACAGTACACATATACACACATTTCCTATTTATTGTATGTATACAGTAGAACAGTACACATATACACACATTTACTATTTATGTCCCTCTGCTATATGTATGTACACATACCTTGGTATATATTAGTATAACAGTATACATACACACACATTTACTATTTATGTCCCTCTGATATATGTATGTACACATACCTTGGTATATATTAGTATAACAGTATACATATACACACATTTGCTATTTATGTCCCTCTGATATATGTATGTACACATACATTGGTATATATGAGTATACCCGAATACGTATACATACATTTACTATTTATGCACACATTTACTATTTATGTCCCTCTGATATATGTATGTACACATATATTAGCGTATATCAGTATAACAGTACACATATCCACACATTTACTATTTATGTCCCTATGATATATCTATGTACACATACATTGGTATATATTAGTATGGCAGTATACATATACACACATTTACTATTTATGTCTCTCTGATATATGTATGTACACATACATTGGTATATATTAGTATAACCGTATACGTATACACACATTTACTATGTATGTCTTTCTGAAGCCTCAAGCGCGCTGAGTCATCATTGCCACCACTTTCCTTCCCAGGGCTGGTGCTGTTGCCAACTTAAAACCGTATACAGGAGTAAAGGACTCTACAATCGCTTTCCTCGTAGACTTGGCCGAAAACAACAAACCGTAAGTTTCATGTGTGAGTATGTCTTGCAGCAATGCATGACGATATACATCTGTATATATACACATACATCCATATATTTAATGTTTATTGTACGTGTATATATGTTT